GTTTCTAATCTGTAGACCAACTTGGGAACAATTGACATTTCTGTAGTATGGAGTTTTCTTATCCATGAAATGTTTTTCCAGTACTTTAATGTCATCATTAATGTTTTTCACTTATGTAAGTTACTCCATACAGATCTTATATTGTTCTGATTTGTAATGACATCTTTGCCATATACAGAGTTATACATATGAGTCTATCTCTGAGCTCTCTGTTTTATTTCATTGATCCACTGCATGCAAACTGCCTTGTTTGAATTAACTCAGTAAGTCTTATTTTATAGGGAGTTTCCTTCTACCTGCAACTTGCAGGCTTCAGCTTGCCAACCTCTGGTTTAAATGATCATGATGCATGTTTGAAATACAGACCCCTGAATAAAGTGTCTTAAGAAAGCATTAAAAATAAACTTTTCAGCCAATGTGCAATTAGTTTTAAATTTCATTTAAACTTGTCACACCACCTTATTCAATAGTATTTATTTCCACAGATTTTTATCCACAGCTGAATATTACAGTGGCTAATACAAGCAATGTTTATAAACAGGTTTAGTTTACAGATTTGTTCAAAATGGAAAAATATTTTTATTAGTAATATTTCTTCTCCACTGTTAGATTCACCCCTGAATATGATGTGAACTCCTCAGTGAAGCAGTCCTTTATCTAAACATCAGTTGGTGACAAAATGTTATATTCAAATCTGGATTGTTCTGACACTATCACTTTAGAAAGCAGTTTAAACTCATTTTTGATTGACCCTCTTTATTATAATTGGAAAATTTTTTGGAAAAACAGTCTTTAGTATCTAATGATCTATATAATAAAAAAAGGCCTATGTTTTATTGGCATTGGCATCAACCTCTTAATTTTCTATACATTGATTCTCTATGGCACCAATGTGTACAAAAAGTGAATTATGGCTGTTTGACTCATGCAGCAAATAATGAGAAAATGACTGTGAGAAATATTCTATAAGGAAAAACTAGTGTCCTGCCCCATGCTGTCATATTTTAGTAACTGTTTAGTCCTTTGGCATCACACAAGTGTTTCAACTTATGATTCCCTTGCTATCTTAGAACTAGGTCAAATGTATGAAAGCAGTTAAATTTACTATATATTAAAGAAATGGATTTTAATTTATTGGTTACTGTTATAATGCATTAAGTGAGGCTCTTAAGTATTTGATGAATTGATAGTGACAGTGTTAATTTTTTCTAAGTTTTCCAAGTTTTGTCTCTTGTTTTTACAAAAACTTTAAAATGTAGCATAGGAAAATCAAGGAAAAAACTCTTGTTGACATGCTTCATAAAAAGGAGAATAAAACCTATTTTCCTTTGGGTTTGATCTGCTTGCTGGGTACCATTAAGTCTAACAGCAGCTGTGACAGCTTGTGGAGAATGCATGTAGGTGATATGTTTGTCAGCTACAGCAACAATTATTAATATGCACACAACACACATTACTCTCAGTAAACTGATAGATCCAGTTAATGCTTAAAACACAAATTGTTTAATCTATAAATATTTGATTCTTAAGTAATCTTTAAAATGCTTTTTAGTTTCAAAAGACAGAACAAAAACACCACCAGAGTGTTATGTTGAACATGAAAATTCTTCCCACAGCAACACTTATTTCAGATAATTGATGTCAGTTATCTTAGTAACTGCTGAAGGCACGTAGTGAGAGAAGTGTCAAGTAAATTTTAAATACTAAAATACAAAGAAAGAGAATTCAAACCTTTATGTTGGATTAAATTAAATTATAAGTCATTGATTTCAAGAAGTTGGAAAATGTGTTGAACTGACTTAAGAAAAATGCTAACTAAAGATTACTAAAGATGCTTCTTCTAGTCTCTGTTATGTTAGATAGGGCAAATCTAAACATTAAGTAACATTAAGACACATTATTGTGTCTGTAAAAGAGTGCTTGTTTTTTTCCTAGTGGCTCAGTCGTGTCTGACTCTCTGTGACCTTACGGACTGTAGCTCGCCAGGCTCCTCTGTCCACGGGATTTTTCAGGCAAGAACACTGGAGTGGGTTGCTGCTTCCTCCTCCAGGGGATCTTCCCAACCCACGGATCGAACCCACATCTCCTGTGTCTCCTTCACTGCAGGCAGATTCTTTACCTACTGAGTCATTAAGTATATACAAACTGCAGCTCCAGTAAAATATCTTTACCTTTGGAAGAGAACTCAATCTACCGTTTCTTAGGCTTAGTAGGGAAGTATTCATAAGGTTCCCCCACCCCATTTATTCTACTTGCCAAGCTCTTATTCAGTGAGTCCTTGGCACCCAGTGGTTAACCACTGGTAGGTCTGTCATATCGCAGGTAGTGACAGCAAAGGCAGTGACCCAGAGGGATGGTGAGGTGAGAGTCTGAGACAGCACGCAGGGGCTTCCCTGGTGGTTCACACGGGAAAGACTCTGCCTGCCCTGCAGGAAGGAAAGAAAGGGAAGGTCACTCAGTCGTGTCCAACTCTGCAACCCCATGGACTGTAGCCTGCCAGGCTCCTCTGTCCATGGAGTTCTCCAGGCCATAGTACTGGGGTGGTTAGCTGTTCTCTTCTCCAGGATATCGAACCTAGGTCTCCCGCACTGCAGGCGGACTCTTTACCAGCTGAGCTACCAGGGAAGCCCAAGGATACTGGAGTGGGGAGCCGATCCCTTCTCCAGGGATCTTCCTGACCCAGGAATCAAACCGGGGTCTCCTGCATTACGGGCGGACTCTTTACCAGCTGAGCTACCAGGGAAGCCCAAGGATACTGGAGTGGGGAGCCGACCCCTTCTCCAGGGATCTTCCCAACCCAGGAATCGAACCAGGGTCTCCCGCACTGCGGGTGGACTCTTTACCAGCTGAGCTACCAGGAAAGCCCAAGGGTACTGGAGTGGGGAGCCGACCCCTTCTCCAGGGATCTTCGACCCAGGAATCGAACCGGGGTCTCCTGCGTTACAGGCGGACTCTTTACCAGCTGAGCTACCAGGGAAGCCCAAGGGTACTTGAGTGGGGAGCCGACCCCTTCTCCAGGGATCTTCCTGACCCAGGAATCGAACCGGGGTCTCCTGCGCTGCTGCAGATTCTTTACCAGCTGAGCTAAGACCTGGGTTTGGTCCCTGGGTCAGGAAGATCCTCTGAAGAAGGGAATGGCTACCCACTCCAATATTCTTGCCTGGAGAATTCCATGGATAGGGGAGCCTAGAGGGCTATATAGTCCATGGGGTCACAAAGAGTCAGACGTGACTGAGCAACTAATATAACACATCCAAGGACAGGGAAGCCATTGCTTTTAAGGAATCACTGCTTTTCAAATTCCTTACCACTCTAACAAGGCATTTCATTTTCTCTAGTAGGTTAAGAACAGGCCCTACCTGAAACTAAGTTTTAAGCTAAAATGCAGTAAAAAGCAAATTATATGTAATAAACAACTTTAAAAAGAGGTAGCCATAGACCCAATTGGTTTAGACTGGCCTTCCAAATGTAGTCACCATGTGGGCTGGAGTGTGGGTCAGGGTTGTCATATCATGTGACTTTATCTGGGGAGGGAGGAGAAGGCACAGTTCTGCGTGGACACCCGAGAGGAGTCTGGATGTTCAGTGTGGAGGTCATGTTGACGACATGGGTTGGGACCTGCTGGGCAGTGGTCTTTGTCCAGGTGTGTGTGGTGCCTCTTCCGCCCAGGGGGTGAGGAGAGTGACAAGGAAGCTGAGCTGTGAGGGCTCCGCACACAGGACTGTTTAGTTCTCGGAGTTTGTTGTATTTCTAAGAGCCTTTTAAGGTGAGAGGCTGAGTAAAAAGATGGTGGGGTGTGTGGGTTCTACTTGTACTCTGTGGAGAAATTTTATCTTCTTGATGCAGCAGAGAAGCTTTTCTATGATTTGCAGACACCATCTGTTCCTGTCATGGGAGGAGCGTACTGTTATCTACCAGAAATGTGAAAAAACAGTCAAAAAGGGTTGTAAGCAATATGTAGGATTTTCTAATTGAATGCCTGCTATTGAAGAAACCAGCAGTAAACACATAAAATCTGTTGTAATATTATCATTAAATACTTTTTTTAAATCCTTAAAGTGTAGATATTTACAATTTTTTGTAGTAATTTTGAAAAATGTTGAAAATAACCTGAAAAGGGAAAGTTGACATAAGCTGTTCTCTCTTAAGAAAAAAAACCACATACACACACACACACAAGCACCCAAAACTTTTGGATAATAATTTAATAATACCTGAACTGATTTTTTAAAAAGGCTTTTCAAATGGTCAAATTCTCAAAAGGAAGTTTACTTTCCTTACTATGAGCATTACATAATATATTATGTAATTATACCTCTTATTGGAGGTATAATGGCATTAAGGGATTAAATGCTTTTATACTGACTTGTTTGATTTTTAATCTAATAAAATAAGACTTGTTACTAACATTTAGATTATATTGATCTTTTTGAAAGTGTTGTTGACTCAGGAAGTGCATGGACTAGCATTGGAAGTTAATAATATCTATTTGCTTACATTTTATGTTTGGAACTGCAGCATTTTTAGCACAATTCTCCATAAATTCATGACTACACAAATAGGTCTGAGTATAGTTTAGTCTGAGTATATGTTTAGTCTGGAGGTCAATTATACCATTGTCTCTGCATCACTAGGCATTAAAATTATCTTCAGGAAACTTCTCAGAAGGCCCAGGTCTATATATTTGTCCTCAAAACATCTCCCCATAAACCCATCCACACCTGACTAGTGTGTTGATGTGGAGAAATGTCACTTGCTATGTGACAGCATCATGCTTATTAGTACCATTATTTGTTAAAAGCCCTCTGAAGGCAGTTTATATGACTTACATTATTTTTAATGTCATCTTACTTTGGATATTCTCCAGTTATGTCCAAAGATCAAAACTAGGCGGTTTCTGTTTTATAGACTGGCATCTTTTATATGGCCATGGGGACTGCTTGGTGGCTATGGACTATGATGTGAATTTGTTTAGACCAAAATCATACTTTAAAAAAACCTTCCATATTTCAAGTGTTTTTATTCGGAGCAGTAGGTACAAAATATAATGACAGATGTATCTTATTCTGTATAGTTCACTCTGCACAGGCTCTCAAACTCTGATTTGATCTAGTTTTATAGATTTTAACAGATTCTTAAGTTCACTTTACTGTCCTATATACTTCCTTCGTGCTCTCACTGGCAATTGAGCTTTGGCACGTGCATTTTCAGACTTCATTGAGGAACTCCAGATTGAGACATGCTGGGATGTGGATTGAGTCCATGGTCAGAGAAGATGGATTAAATGGGAACAAAACGGGAAACATGTGCTTGAAGTCTAATAGCAGCTGCTGAGGGTCATTCCGATCTTGCAGTTGTGCCTGTGGGGAAGGATAAGACCATGTAAAATACCGCCTGTGTCTAAAAATAGCCAGTTTTGGGTGAATTCACAAAATGAATCACAAGAATATTCCTGTTACAATAACTAGGCAGGACGTCAGGAGAATGTAGTCTCCCACTCCCTGAGGTATTTAGAGGGAGAGAGGCTTTGGTTTAGGCCTGTTTGGAGATCAGATGACATTAGCTTCTCCAATTCTAGCATTCTTTTAAAAATTTTCCATCTAAGGGAGAATAGAAAAATACATTTCAGCTGCAAATCATGGGGAGAGGCAGTATGGTGAAAGGGTCGAGGCCATGGGCTCTGGAGGCGGTTAACCTGAGCTCTAACCCTGGCACCACCTCGGGCGAGTTCCTAAACCTTCCTCTGCCTCAGTTTCCTCATCTCTAAAAAAGAAAAGGGAGAGTGACACTGCACAAAATGACGGAAGAAGAACCTCCAGGGGCCAGTCCCTCCACTGAAGCTACCACTGAGCTAGAAAAAAGCAACTGACATCAACTGTCTTGTAACTCTGGAACCTGACTGGATGCTTAAAATAACCAGGGAAGTGCCTGATAAAGGAGAGCCTGCAGATCTTTGCTGAGAACGGTGTGCCTCGGCTGCCATCCCCTGTTCTCCAACCACGCTGCAGCTGCAGGGACCGCAGCCCCCCGTCTGGGAGCAGCTGGCTGGTGCCCAGGCAGGCAGTGAGACCTCGCCTTCCGAAGCTCTGGGGCTGTGCACTCTGCTTGGTCTCGCAGTTCCCTGAAGGACTGGCACAGATGTCTGCCTTGCTTCTGGTTCTCTTGGGATACAGTGGCTTCCTCTATGGCATCAGTTGGAAGATTTAAAGGGGACAGAGCCCCTCCCCTCTTATCCTCTATTTGGAGCCAGACATTTTAGGGAAAGTATAATAACTAAAATGAAATTGTTCATTTTACTAAAGGGATCTAATGGAAGAGTTGAATAGGCAGAAGAAATGACCAATGAACATGAAAACAGAGCAGATGAAATTCTCCAGTTTGACGAGGGGAGAGAAAAAAGAATGACTAAAAGTGGACAAAGCCTGAGGAACCTGTGGGACACCATAAAGTGAACCAAAATATAAATCATAGGAGTCCCAGAAAGAGGAAAGAGAGAAAGGGCTAGCAAACTATTTAAAGAAACAGTGCCTACATTCCCAAATCTGATGAAAGATGTATTTCCAAGAAACTCAAACTAGCAGAATAAACTCATAAAGAGTCACTGAGACACATTATAGTCAAAGTATCAAACCCCAATGACAAAGAATCCAAAGAACAGCAGGAGAGTAGTAACTCATCACATAACTTATCCTCAATAAAAGTGGATTTCTTATCAGAAACCATGGAAGCCAGAAGGCAGTGGGATGATACATTTTAATTTCTGGAATTTCTTCCAGTCAACCAAGAATTCTATATCTGGAAAAACTGTCTTTCAAGAATGAAGGAGGATTACAGTCAGCTCCCTGTATTCACAGGTTCTGCATCTGTAGATCCAACCAACCATGGATCAAAAATATTTTTTAAAAACTTCAGGAAGTTCCAAAGAGTAAAATTTGAATTTGACATATGCTGACAACTATTTACATAGCATTTACATGGTATTAGGTATAATAAGTAATCTGGAGATGATTTAAAATGTACAGGAAGATGTGCATAGGTTATATGCAAACACTATGCCATTTTATATAAAGGACTTGAGCATCCACAGGTTTTGGTACCTATGGAGGTCATAGAACCAATCCCTCCTGGATACTAAGGGACAGCAGAATCATTTCCAGAGAAACAGAAGAAGCTGGTTACCAGTAACTAAAGACAGCTTCAGGTGAAATATAAGGACATCAGACGATAATTCAAAGCCATAAGAAAAAATAACACTGGTAAAGCTGCGTGGTAAGTCGCTCCAGTCATGTCCAACTCTTTACAACCTCATGGGGCTCCACTCTTTACAACCCCCACCAGGCTCTGTCCATGAGATTCTCCAGGCAAGAATACTGGAGTGAGTGGCCATGCCCTCCTCCAGGATATATTCCTGACCAGGGATCAAACCCACATCTCTTGTGTCTCCTGCATTACAGGCAGGTTCTTTACCACTAGCGCCACCTGGGAAGCCAGATAAATGTAAAAGCCAGCATTATACTTTTGTTTTGCAGCACCTTTGTTCCCTACATGACTTACACAAATGAAGAAAATAAGAATAAATTTCTGTTAATGGGTACACACATTTAATGGAAGTAATCTGTGGCAATAATATAAATCAAGAGAGATGGAGATGCACAGCAGCAGAGTATTTGTATACTATTGAAACCAGGTGGTTATTACTTAAACTAGGTTGTTACAGGTTGAAGACATTCATTGTGATTACCACAGTAACCACTAAGAAAATGGCAGAGACTTCCCTGGTGGTCCAGTGGTTAAGAATCTGCCTGCCAATGCAGAGGACATGGGTTCAATTCCTCTTCCTCCAGGAAAATACTACATGCCATGGAGCAACTAAACCCACGCACCACAACTACTGAAGCCTATGCACCCTAGAGCCTGTGCTCTGCAACAAGAGAAGACACTGGAATGAAAAGCGTGTGCACCACAGTGAAGAGTGACCCCTGCTCGCTGCAACAAGAGAAAGCCCACGTGAAGCAACAAGACCCGGCAGAGCCAAAAATACAAATAAATAAGTAGAAAATAACCAAAAAATATGCAGAAATGTAGGGAATCAAAATGATACCCTCACTACAAGAAATAAACACACAAGACAGTGATGAAAGAACTGAGAAACACAAAACATATAAGACATACAGAAAAGAAGTATTTAAATGGCAGAAGTAAGTCTTTTATCAGTAATACTTTAAATGGAAACATAAAGGAAATTAAAAGACAGGGATTGGCAGAAAGGATTTTCAAAAAATCATCTACATGCTGTCTGGAAGAGACTCACTTTAGACACACAAAAAGATTGAAAGTAAAAGTTTGAAAAAAGATATTCCAAGTAACCAGAAAAGAGCTGATATGGCTATATTATTCTCATACAAAGTACACTTCAAGTTAGAAAAGTTTACAAGAGGCAAAGAAGGACATTATATATGCATAAAGTCTCAATCTGTCAAGATGAGTTATATATATGCATCTGTCAACAGAGCTCAAAATAATGAAGGGAAAATGGAAGGAACTAAAGGGAGAAGTAAGTCTATAATAATAATCGGAAACTTCATTACCCCATTTTCAATAATGGACAGAACCACCAGGTGGAAGATCAAGAGCAGAGGCCAATGAATACCACTATAAACCAGGTAGACTTAACAAACATACATGACCAATTTGGAGTTATCCCCAGAATGCAAGGGTGGTTCAACATACAAAACTACAAGAATGATGTATACACTTCTTGCATTGCTGGTGGGAATGCAAAATGGTGTTTGAGGTAGTTCCTCAAACATTTAAACACAGAATTACTATATGAACTCATAATTCAACTCCCAAGTATACACCTAAAATAACTTAGAACAAGTACTCATATTTGTACACCAATGTTAATGAAAGCATTGCTCCCAATAAACAAGCAATCCAGGGTCCATCAACAGATGAATGAATAAACAAAATGTAATATATACACACAAGGGGTTGTTATTCAACCATAAAGAGCAATGATGTTCTGCTACCTGTTACATAGCAAAACATAGATGAACCCAAGGAATACTGTAAGTAAAATAAGCCAGACCCCAAAGGACAAATTTACATGAAATAGCTAGTACAAGCAAATTCATACAGATGGGAAGTAGACTAGAGGTTATCAGGGGCTGAGGTAAAGGAAGAATAGGGAGTTATTGCTCATTGGGCCAAGTTTCTGTTTGGAATGATGAAAAAGTTCTAAATTAGTGGCAATAGTTATAAAACATTGTGAATACGGTCAGTGCACTGTACATTTAAAAATGGTTTAAAAGAAAAACATATGCAAAAAAATGAGGTGGGGAGAGTATACTCACTAGGTTATGAGGCTCAAGAGAGTGAATGTGTGTAAAGCACTCAGAACAGCCTCTGGTACTTGGCAAGTGCTATGTTGTTTGCTGTTCTTTTTATGACATGAAATTTAACTCTTTATGATAAAGAAATTTCCTTTCTTCCTTGAGTCTGGTACACACCATCAAACTTTGAACTATACTTTACAAAGGCAAATAACTGAGTCCTGCCAATAGGAAAATCAATATATCCTGATTGCTTGAAAACACAGGTCATCCCACATTAACTTCAAGTATGAGCACTGCTTTTCCTGTTGGGACAAGGAACCATCATAGCTTTAGATAGTGACAATATTTTTATATTCTGTAAACTTCTAGCGGTTTCATCATTTGCCCTTTAGAGAAGACAGGGATATTTACCTGCTAAGTGAATCCCGTATGTGGATGTTACATAGACTCTAACACTCACAGCATCTCTATTTTCTTAAATCTTGAAGCAGGGGGTGAGGTCAATAAATATGCAATGCAGCAGCCTTAGAAAAGTGCTAGGAAATGAGTTTTTAGAATGAAACCGGCATGAGCGTAGGACTGTGACATGCTCCTAAGAAGGCAGAAGAACCTGTAGATTTGAACGTGACTAAGGAAAACACTTAAATTTCCAGGTGTCAAGTTTAAAAACACCCATGAGGTTTGGTATCTTGAAAGATGGGTCAAATTTATAAAGTAATTTTAACAGCTTGAAAAGTAGTTTGAAATAACAGGAAAAGAAGTTCAAAAAAGTCAAGGACATTTAAGGATGAATAAGCAACTTCACTAACTTAAGATCCATAGGGTGACTTTCATGTGATCCTGGCAGAACAGTCTCTGCAGGAGTGTAGCTAGCTCAGCACTCAGCTGGCTCCAAGCTTTGCTGCATTTATTATTACAAAGCCATCATACAGCATGAGAAAATGTGCATAAAATGTAAAATGGCAAGAGGCTCTTAAAATTTTTTCATAGCACTTAAGAGCCTTTAATTTCTCCACCTTAGTCAGAGGTATCAGTGGGCTCTGCACTTTAAAGGGTTTGAAGAAACTGTAAAGGATTTAGAGGAGAGTATAAAAATGGGACAAAAGAGAAAAGTTAAATAATACCTATACTGCAAAATTCAGAAGCAAAAGGTATATTATGTATTTATTTAAAATGCACAAAGTAGTCATTTCACAGGAATCAGTCTTACACATCAGCATATTTTATCCTAGCAAATGGTTTGCAAAAGCGACATGATTTATCCTACATAAGGTTCAAGTACAGGAGGATGGCATGAACCGTCCCAGCCTTTCCTCTCAGCACTGTGTAGGAACAAAACAAAACTAAAACTCTAGCTGGCAAACACACACAGACACACACACACAACATTTTTTGACAGAATTGATGGACTCGAGAATTGACTGCTAAGGATGACTCAGAATCTCACTGCATGTGTCTCCAGAGACTATCTGACCAACTTCCACTGCCTTTTTCCTACTACTTTAAATCAAACACCAAGTGTGATTTGGCTCATGTTCTTTGACCTTTGGCCTGAATTCTCGTCTGGTATACAGAGAGAGCTGTAGAATTTATTTATAAGCAGTTAGAGCTCTTCCTCTAATGTGTGTCTCAGATATCTAAAAGCAAAAAGATACTTTCTAATAAATATGCACTCTGCTTTGTGTAAATTCTCAGCTCTCCATAAAAACAGTGGCATGTCAGAGAACACAATGGCTTCTGTCATCAGTCATTTCAGCAGCTGATGATACAACATCCATGGAGGTGACTCTCTGCCTGGTTCTCTCTGACTCAAATCTTTAACAAACCACAGGATTTCCCCCACTGCCCTTAACTGAACAAGCTTCCATCTGACTAGCACCCTCCCCTGACTGTTAGCCTCTCTTCTCTACTTATACATGATGCTCAAGGTAATTTATTCTTTTCTGCTTTTCCTGCCTCCCTCTCTAATCACTTTCTCCCATTTTTTTTAATCCTAGATTTGGACTGACAGTTACTTCACTGGCTGAAGAGACAGTTTATAAGTTTGAAAAAGTATTGTGTCTCCTCAGGGTGCTCCTCACCTGTACTGATGGAAGGAGTGTTCACCGTTTTTGGACTAATCTTGATGTGACTCATCCTTCAGATGCCGTCAGCCACAGTCACACATGATTAGGCACTCAGCACAGGTCCCTGAGGGCTCAGCTTAGGAAGCTCATCTTTAGGTAAACATTGCCAAACTCTTAAGACAGATTTAAATAATCATTTCCCTTAATATGCTTGCTTTCAAGCTTGCTCCCTAAGGGTAAATATTGTAAGTCTCTTAAATATTATAAGAGTCAAGATTTAAGAGCTCTTTTTTTTTCCCCCTTAAAACAGTATTTCTTAGGACTTCCCGGGTGGTCCAGCGGTTAAGAATCTGCATTGCAATGCTGGGGACACAGGTTTGATCCCTGGTCAGGGAACTAAGATCCCACACGCCACAGAGCAACTAAGCCCACAAACCGAAACCAGAGTTCGTGAGCTGCAAGGAAAGATCCTGAGTGACACAACAAAGATCCTGCATGCCACAGCTAAGACCCAACGAAGCCAAATAAAGAAACATTAAAAACAAAACAAACAAAAACAGTATTTCTCAGTTTCATTTATGGGTAGCATTGATATTCTGCTTACTTTATAATTCTATTTTGTGTTGTAGTTTAGCAACTTGCTAGTGGTAAATGGGGGCTTCCAAGGTGGCTCAGATGGTAAAGAATCTACCTACAATGCAGAAGACCCAGGTTTGATCCCTGGGTTGGGAAGATCCCATGGAGAAGGGAATGGCAACCCATGCCAGTATTCTTGCCTGGAGAATCCCATGGACAGAGAAGTCTGGAGGGCTACAGTCCATGGGGTGACAAAGAGTCAGACACAACTGAATGACTAACACACACACACAGTGGTCAATGGAATAGTACTTAATGTAAAATCCAAGAGGCGAAAATTATTAAAGTTTAGTCTCCTGTGTATATATAAGTTATTTACCAAAAGAGGACACCTAAGAATGTAAGGTCTTCTAGAATATAATGGAAGCACTATTTTGCTAATAAAGAGAAGCTAGGTTAAACTCTAAACTACCAATTCTTTTATTTGTTTTATCCTAGGACTTTATAAAATTGATTAGTATTTTAAAACTCACCTGGATTGTTCGTATAAAGGCCACTGTTACCCGTTCTTCAAATTCATTCAGAGGGGTATAAAGGTTCAAAATTTTGACAATCTGTTGGAATAAAAACAAAATTTTAGCACAGAGCTAAATGAACCTAAGACCACGTTTGAATCTTAAAGAATATATGACATTGGCACCAGAGAACACTTCTCTGTAGGCAAGACCCACAATTCAGGTGCAGCTGGACTGACATTGAGGCATCCACGTTTAGTAAATTAGGGTCCCAAAGCTCTGCCTGGGAGATCCGAGCTCTTTTATGGATTCCTCTCTCCTATATACATGCCCAACCCTCCCCCATGCTCTATAACTTATGAATTAATGAGGATTTTAGAAAACTGTTGGCCTGAAGTCTTCAGTGCCTTATCTACTAGCCATTTAAAGGTTTAATTAAAAGAGTCCTGGGTAGCTTACCTTTTATAACAAAGGTCTTAACAGCACTTTCTTACCTCTCACCACCCACCAAAATCACTTACTAAAGTTTTTCTCCTATCTAAACAGAAAGTAATTCTTTGTATGGGGGAAGTGGCCTGCCCAGTGGCAAAGCGGTACCAGGTGCAGTCTAGGAATATACTTATGAAAACAAAATTTTAAGTTTCAAAACTTTCAGTAAACACGTATAGAAGGAAGCAGCTTTCTTAAGAGCTTGGTATTTCATCTCTGAGTACCTAATGGAGGTGGTAAGGAAATGTATGTTACTTGCAACAGTGAATTTGGATTCTGTTGTTCTTTAGGTGCTGGGCAGAGAGAAGGTGCATAATTTAATATGGAAAATCCCGATTTCCTCATGCTGGTCTCATTTTGCACCCCCACCTTGTGGTGGGCCCATTTCTAAACAGGCACATTCATGATGGAGGGCAAGGTCACCTATGTATGGACAGGATTTATCTTTTGACAGACGTACTACTTCTTGAAGGCAAAAGAAGAGGGGGTGGTAGAAGATGAAATAGTTAGATAGCATCACCTAATCAATGGACATGAAGATGAGAAAATTCTGGGAGATGTAGAGGACAGAGGAGCCTGGTGTGCTGCAGTCCATATGGTCGCAAAGAGTCAGACATGACTTGGCAACTGAATGGCAACAACAAATTATCTCTGCAACTGAGACCCAGTATAGATACAACAACATTTGTGGACTGAACTTTCAGGACTGTATCACTGGGAGCAGAAAAAGGCCCAGAGTGCTTTGAAAACAACCTTTGGCAGGAATGGACTTGAGATGGAAGCCGGGCTGGCCCTGAGTCCCTTGGGCTGACAGTGACCGTACCTGCTGGGTGCTGAGTGCGGTGCACAGGGAGCAGATGGCCTCAGCGTCCTCAGGGCTTTTCTTCTTTAACTGCAGGAGCTGGGCAGCCTGAATCAGGGGCTCCATGGTCTCAACAGCCCCGCTCTGGTGCAGGTTTCTTCCCCGAAGCCACTCCTCCAGCTGACTGATGTTGTACCTTAGACACAGGAAGACAGCGCCCTGTGATGCCTGTCCTTCTGCTTCACTGGGATGAGCTCACCTCGTGGCTTTCTTCTGCAGTCCAGCTGCCACTAGTGTTATCACTCTCCTCCTCTTGATTCTCTCATGTGGGAGAGAGCGTGACAAGTACTTGGCACTCAATAACTGTGTGTGGAATGAGTGGGTGCTTAAAACCAAGCCAAGATGAAGTGCCTGAAGTGTCTGTACTAAGTTAATAGGGAAAAGAGGCATTAACTCTACTGAATTAAAACAACTTACATTTAACATTCGCAAACATATTTGTACTCCGGTGAGCAGTCACGCCTCTTAAATCATTGATTTTCCTCTCCGACCTGGCTAAATCATATTTACAACCTTTATAAAGTCTGCACATGTTTAAGCTTTGAACTAATTTGTTTACCAAGCTCACCTCCTCGGTATGTGATGAATTTCATCAACAAATAAAAAAGTGATGGATCTGAGTCACACACTGCCTGCGACAAGGACGGCCACTTGGATTTGGGTGTCATTTTCAGAGACAAGTGTCGCCCGTGTGTGAGTGGAGCTGGCGTGTGGGGTGTCCCCTCTCCGGGGGGCAGGCTGAGGTGCGCACTCCTACCTGAGCTGCATGCCTGTGCTCCAGGAGCAGACGTCCTTCCGCAGAAGCAGGTTGTTGAGCGTCACCGCGTTGATCATGTAGAAAAGCTGTCTGAACACCTGCAGGATGATCTCGGGGTCCAGGCCCTGGTCGCACATGACCGTGTGGAAGGAGTTCATCTGGCGGATGATGGCTTCCAGGCAGTACGAGTTGTCTCCTTCCGGCATGCTGGAGGTGCGCTTCCGGTAGCCCGTGGGCTTCACCCCGGACAGACCCTGAATGCTCTCGTTCTCCAACATGGCCGACACTGAAAGCGAAGCGCGATTAGAGCAACGGATGTTCCCAAATTAGATCTGCTTCTGGGTCACTCGGATCACACAGGGCTTTGGCAGCGATCCTGCCCAGAGGTGTGCTCAGGAACTTAAGAGCATTAGGCATGCGATTTCTAATAGGTTGATCTCTACACCAAGTAAGTTTTCCACATAGAAATCTTGGACTACACTTGTGGACTAAATCTTCGCTTAAATTTACTGATGGGACATAGGTAAAAGGTAAAACCAACTCAATTCTGTACTGTCTTCTGTGCTGAGTGACCAAAAGTTGAGAATTGAGCAACGTGGGTGTAGTCGTGGCCTGGTCACTGACCTGGGCCTGGACCCTGAGATCATCCAACAATTGTTCAAACAGCTCTTCTCCATCACTCTCTGACCATGTAAATCTTAGGTGAGTTGGTCTGTCATAGTTAATGCACAGCACTTAACTACATGTCAGGCACTTTACATTCAGTATTCCTTTAAATCTTCCAACAACCTGTTTCCTAGTGAGGAAATTGACGCATTAAATAATTTGCCCAAGGTCATCCTACCAGGAAGTGGCAGGGCCAGGCTGTGAACCCAGGTCTGTCCAATTCTAGAACTTACGCAATTAACTATCATCTTGTCTGAGTCATGAAATATCCCCAGTTCTCCCTATGTATGGTGAGAATAAACTGGCTCCTCCTAAGAAGATTCTTAGACAAGAAGAAGGATTTGGAATGAATATTATCCCAAGGGATATATTTCTGGATGGCATGTGGGACCCTGTCCTACTTGGAATTCACTTATAACCTACTTATGCCATCAGAACTTGGGGAAAACACTATCCACGTGCTTCAGGAGAACCTCCCCAGCCTTTAAGGAGTACAATGAGTGATGCACATGTATGTTACTTTTCTTTTAACCTAAAAAATAACTGCTCTTATTTTTCAATTCTGATACCATGGCAAGTGCCCAAGTGTCCTGCTTTGGACAGAATGTTCAATAAATATTTATTGCATGAGTGTTTACTACTGTGTACATTTATATGAACATACTTAATTCTTTCCCTTTTCCATGAATAAAGTATATATATGGGCAAGAGTATTATATCTTTTCACTGTGTATGCATTTACACTTCCTGAATTTATATTTAGTACCTATGGAAATTAGCTTGGGGAAAAAATAATACAGTATGTTACAGAAAAAGGAGATAGAGGGAAAGTGATCTATATTCTCACTACCCAAGCATCACATGCTTTGATGGTTGAAAGCTGGTGTTGAAAGTTTCATGACTCTTTTTGAGTAGATGGCATACACCTTCTTAGCTGCCTTTTCTGGGAAGAGCCTGGGCTTTCTGGGGGCTGTCCTAAGACAGCTAGTTCCCTAAACGGAGGGAGTGCTTACCCTCACTTCAGACCCCACGATGAACGCTGGAGATCTCCGGTGCCAGCTTACCTATCATAGGCTGCAAGAGACCCTCGGCGATTTTAATGAGCTGCTGGTAGATCTGAATGGAAAGATCGCTCAGCACCTGGCGGTATTCAGTGAGGTCGAAGTTCTTAAGACAGTGCTCATTCTGCTTTGCAGTGTTCTGAGTCATGAAGCCCTGCAGAGGGAGACGGGCGCTGTGCTGAGTGCCAGGCACAGAAGACCTCCAAGCCTCCAGTCACTTCCAAGGTGTCCTACTGTGGGGAGACCGCTCAGGTTCTGTCTGCTCAGGTGATATCCTACAAGACCCTGTCAGTTCTTCCAGTTCTCGAGGATGGCTCTTAAATTTGAAGGCAGAGTCAAAACTTAGCATGACAGAGGACTTGGAAAACTGCTTAATCAAAAGGCTGTGATCATTTGGTCCAAATCCCTGAAGTCTCCCTGAGGCAGCCAAGTGCAGGTTGGCAGCAGGTCCCGGGAAAGAGGGATCCACACTTCCTGCATTGTTACGCAGTTCTTGTCCCAATATACCAGGTTATCCTAAAATATTAAGACTATACACAAGTCCCTGAAGAAGTACCTGACTCAGAGCATATGTTTTTACAATGAGAAATTTTATGTAGATCCTATTGTTGGGTATCAGAATTAACAGATGAAACAAGATGACTGCACAGTTATAGCACCAGGTCTTCTAAGCTTTCCCTGTTAACAAGATGAAGTAACATGCAAGTTGAGAGAGCTGCTAGTATCAGAAGAACTCATGTGAATAATATCCTTCTGTATTCAGGCCAAAAAGAATCAAGAGCAGCCAAAAAGTCAGTGTTTTCAAAAGGGTGACTGTCTCCAGCAATGCCTCTTGTGTCAGATCACAAAGCAATTCTTAAAGAAAACAAAAGCAGGCAGAAGAGGGGATAACAGGATAATTGTTGTCTAGGCTATGCAGATCTGGTTACACTGTGGTTCAAGTCTTGTCCCTGGGAATATAAGCACATGAAAGAGTAGCCCAACGTAACAGAATTCTTGGTCCTCCTGAGCCCTATATAATGTTCCCTGCAGAGTACAGACAGCATTAGGTCAAGTGGTGACTTTCAGGGAGATAACCTGAAATACAGGTTTCTGCTTAAAGTAAAAGCTTGTGTATAATGTTAGGGTTAGGGAATAGAGGATATCTGGTTTGAAATGAGCCCCATGTCTTCCAATAATAAACACACTATTTCTTTAACATTTAACCCACTCCCTTTCATAATAAAAACAGGTGATAAAACGAAGTTCAGATTCTAGGATAGAGATGGGAGTCAAGTCCCATTCCAAGGGTGGTGAGACTGCCTGGCACAGCATGTTCTTCTAGAGGGATCAGTCTGTGAAAACTTGTTCTGGCACAAAAGATGGATCAAAGCTTTTTGTTGCACCATATTGAGTTGCACTGTGTCTTAGCCTGGGGAGTGTAGAGACTGAGATTGTGAAAGGAAAGGGAGGAGGCAAGCTGAGAAGGCCTGCAGGGCATTAGGTGTGATGGCACCTGGGTACAAGTTGGCAGCCTCACCAGAGAAGCCGGGGTGAGACTGAGCTGTATGTTGCTAGGTCACTGGGCTGAAGGCGAGGCATGGGAGAAGTTTTTCAAGGATCAACAGTGGGAATGGTGAGTTCTAGAAAAAGCTGGACCCTAGAGCTTCAGAGCAGAACCTTAATAAGGGATGGGGTGAGTTGGGGGCCTCAGATCAAGGGACTGAACTTTATGAGAAGCACGAAGCTGGGTTTCAGGGTCAGTCTGCACATTTGTAGTTCAGTCACACCTCGCCTCGCCTCTTAGACCATCTCTGTCTTAGAAGAGACAGACTAACTGGTTGGCTTCGGAGACAATCTGACACCCCAGACCACTGAGCTTTCTGCCACGTTCCCAGAAATGGGGCCCTTCTAGGGCTGCTTCAGAAAATTAAGTGCACAGGGTTTTCAGGGAGATTCCTGGGGGGCTCTCAGATGATGGATGGGTTGTGCAAACATTTCCTGACAAATCTTCCCATTCATTCCAGGGGCCCTCAGGTGTCATCGAGGCCTGCCTTATTCCTGCTTCAGTGAACAGAGTCTGAGGTCCTAGAGGTGCCCAGAGACCTCACGCCCTCTCCTTAGGTGACACGAAGCAGCTCAGGATGACGTGTGGACAAAACAGAGATGCCTTCAGGATTGACACCTCTCCGCCCTGCCCCTGTTCTGACCGGGGTCTGAGGTGGGTCTTGGGTGCTCTTTGCTGTACCCAAGAAAACGAGGACCTAACTGCTGAGGAACACAGGGCACCTTGGTGGCATCCGTGTCCTCCAGGGGCCTGGGTTCATCTCACACTCACCTCATCCCCACTGTACTGCTTCAAGCAGTGCAGGAGGCGGCAGGTATTGGACAACCAGAACGATGTCATCTCAAAGTCCTCATTGTGCTTCTGTGAAAAGAAGAAGACGTGCCTGGCTATGAGGAGGTAGTTCCCATCTGGTCGAATGCTTACCTGTCCTGACGGGTCCACCCTGCCTTCTCTTACCCAGGAGGCCCCAAGCAGGCCCAGTGACAAGTGGACCCTTACTCTTCACGGTCACAGGGAAGAAAGCCCTCCCCGTGAGGCTGCCTTCCTGCTCCTCCAGCCCCGGGGAGGATGCACGACCCTGCCTGGAGGCCCCTGATCAGTGGTGCACACCCAGCGGGGAGTGGGTGGGTCTGGGGCCAGTTGGGAGTCTCACTGGAGAAAACTGGGGTGCAACGGGGCCATATGGTACTAGGTCACCAGGCTGAAGGCAGAGCATGGGAGGACCAACTATGAACGGGTGAGTTCTAGATAAAGCTGGACCCTAAGGTCCGGAGCAAAACAGGAAGTGTTCCTATGACAAAGCCAAGGGAGACAGAGGAGCCTGACTCCAGCAGCCCTGGGCTCTGCCATGAGCACTGGGCCGGACGGCCTGGCAGGTTCTTAACTGTCTGGGGTCCAGGACAGGGGGTGCTGGGGAGCACGTGGTGAAACATCCTGGGGGGCCCGTTTGTCTAGAGATCAGGCGTCATTTTCCTTCAGAGCTGGAGATTCTGGGGAACTTGTAACTGAAGTGACAGTGAGCTGCCGTGTTCACCCAGCTCCCCACAAGACCAGTGCCTGGGGCCTGGACACTGACCTTGAGGACCTTCTTGATGCCATTGATGGTGGAGGTCAGCAGGGAGTGCACCTTGAGGTCATCGTTCACGTAGTCCGCGTGCCGGATGCACATGTAGAGGATGTAGGCCGGGAGGCAGGGCACCGCGCCCGCCAGCGCCTGTGGTTTCAACTCTGCCACCAACAGACAGCAATGCTCAGCTCGGCAGCAGATGCTGCTCGATGCTCAGGGGTATAAGAATCCTGGCCCCCCATACAAACAGTCTCCCCAGGTTCCTGGAGCTCCTCGGGATGGGGGGTGTGGGGGGCTGGCAGAGGAGTAGGGGAGAAGATGCCCTGGATACACACACATTCCTTTGGACCCTGTCTACCAGTATTTCAGAAACGCGTTAGAAAACCCCAAACAAACGACAAACATGTTCCTAGTTGTTCAAAATAGGCTTGTCACGCCTTGTCCTTACAATACAGAGGAAGAGAATCCCCGGAGGCGGGGCGGGGGGGCTCCCTGCCCAAGTTTACACACAGGCCATGGTCCTTGCCAAGAAGGGGCCCACAGCCAGAGGCTGGCTGAAGGCAGGAACAGGCTCCCTGACCAGGGAACTGGGGCAAGGACCCCCTAGGCCTCTGCACCAGCACGTCCTGCTGTGGACACAGCGGGCTCCTGAGCAGCCAGAAGACGAGGCCTGGTCCCAAAGACAGAGCCTGTGGGCCAGGGGCTGGGTGAGCCAGAGCAACTTCTAGCCCATCTGGTCTTCTGTTTAGCAACCTCCCTGCAGCAGCTGCCCACACTTTGTCAGAGGCGGCAGCTCAAGCAGGCCCTGTTGTGCCCCAGCCACCGCCCCGCTGCTTGACAACCATCTCAACCTCCCTTGTGGCCAGCACTAACCTGGCTGCGGTCAGGAGAAGCTGCTGCCCCCGCTTCCCCTCCTCCTCCCCGCGCCCCCTGGGCTGTGTGCCCTGGCAGGACCAGAAGGGGCTGGCAAGCCTCCCCGTGGACCGCAGACTCCTGCTCGGTCTCTCGGTCCTTTCCTGCCAAAGCCCTCGGAAGACCAGGGAGAAGCTGTCAGACTGCTTGCCATTCCAGAGGCGGTTCAGGGAAGCACAGACCAGGCTGAGCGCAAGGGGTGCAGTAGGGCCCGGAGGAGGAGGAGGAGGAAAGAACCAGGGACTGGCAAAGTGGAAAGGCAAACAGGAGGCCCAGGCACAAGGCCCCGGGCCTCAGATCCCAGGCACACTGACTGCGGCCCTAGCCCTCACCCCACATTCCCATTACCTCCACCCCCAACCTCCACCTCGTCCAGGTCCCACGAGCCCCTCAAAGCAACGAGGGAGGCCACGTCCCCCTCCACCAGCAGGTGGGCCGGGGGAAGGAAGGGGCCACATCCTCAGATCTTCCACCAGGGAGTCCGGGGTCAGGGCTCGGCATGGGCTGCCAGCATCTCCAGGGGGTACTTGACCTCAAATATACACCTACAGGCCATAATACTCTGATACCTGGTTAACATTTGGGCATCTCATAGGCGTAACAGATGACTGTGGATTGGCCCTTGGCTCTAATGAGAAAGTCAATAACATTTTTCCAGAAAAATGTGTCTTTTTTAAGACCCAGACTTCTAAACCTTTTGGCTTTGAGCCTGACCCCTATGCAGACTGCAAACAGCTTCTCCTGCCTTGGAACTTTCCACTGTAATTTGGGATCCTGCAGCAGCTAAGTGGCAGCGTCTTGGGGGCGGGGACCATGACTCTGCTTTTTGCCATCATCCACAGAACAGCCAGCACTGGGCACCTGAGCCGCCGTCAGTGAAATCCTCCCCCACCCAGTTCATGTGGGAAGTCGCTTAGAGGGAAGGTGGCCAAGTGCTGTGTGCAGGCCTGGGGCCACCTGAGTGGTGAGCGTGGGGAGCTGCCCGTCAGCTGGCACAAGCAGCCAGTATTACTCCTTCCCCCAGTGTTATTCTGTTTCACTCTGATGCTGTGATCCCTGAGTTTCATTCATCAGAGATTAAAGGTTCTTTCCTAATGGCATTTGAACAAGACACAGCCTGTTTAAGGTGAACTTACGTCACATTTAGTTGTCAGGCAATTGTAGGGGTGGTAGGGGAAATTAACCTTCATAAAAAGAGCAAAATACTCAGCTGCTAAAAACACCCCAAAAGAAGAGCTGAACCAAAACCTGTGCCAGGCTGAAATCATGCTCCGTTCTTCCGTCTCTCTGAGTTCCTCACACCCAAACAATTCAACACAGCCCTTTCACCTCTGTCATATTTCAAGTCTTACAGACAGGAGAACTCGGGCACCAGAGGGGGGAGCTAGCAGCTTAGGGGCCAGAGAACCAGGCCTCCAAAGACCCCTTGGTCCTGGCCCAGGCTCTCCCTGAGGGCCCTGCAGGCGGCTGCTGACGTGGGCTGGGCACACAGCAGGACGTCAGGCCTGAGGAAGCCAGGTGGGGCTGTGAAACCAGAGGGGAAGAGCTGGTACAACTGGCAGACCAGGCCCAGGCTGGCGAGGAAAGTAGCTCCCAAGAGCCCTGCGGGCGCCCCCCACAACCGCACACACAATCTCCGGGGGCAGCCCCACACTAACCCAGCATCAGCCTCACCTGGGAGCGCGTCAGAAACGCAGCAGGTCGAGGGGGTGGGTGAAAGTGGGTGGGGGTGTCCGCGGGGTGCGGGTTGTGCAGGAGGCGGACAGGAGGCGGGGCTGACCTGTCACCAGATTCCGAATGAGCAGGGCCTCATCCTCCTTGTGGTACTCCAGCATGCCCTGGAAGTCCTTCTCCTTCCGCTGCACGGTGACCTGCCTGTTGAGTTCATGCCGCTTCCTCTCACTCTGGGCCAAGGCTTGGGCAGCTGAGCAGGGCAGAGGGATAGAACACAAACTGAGAGGTCTCCAGGCTCCGGCCCGGGGGCCAGGCATCTAGGGTGGGCAGGGTTCGGGCGGGGTCTGGGCCCCAGTTCTGGGTTCATTGGCCCTCACACTCCGTACATGGTCTGCCCTGCAGCCTGGGTCACACGTGTGACAAGAGGACCTGAGCACGGGGTACCAGATCCACTCAGGAGAGGAGCTGGGAAACACCCAGAACGGCAGAGGGCAGGTTGTGGACCAGAGAGAACTTGGGAAGGATGCAGGTGCAGGATGTACAACCATTCTGCTGGGGGGCTGCTTCTCCCCGCTTCCCCCATCAATGAGAAAGGGGGGAGGGGAGGCGGGAAGGAGAAGGGAGTAGGGAGGGTGAAGGGAAGGAGGAGGAAGGGAGAGAAGAAAAACTCCGAGTGACCAGAAGACTGAGAAGCCTAGGAACAGAAAAGAAATCCAAAGATGGCGAGGGGCACATGGGGTATGAGGGGCGACAGCTCAAGGCTGAACAGGACCCAGTCCTGCCTTCCTAGAGCCTCATCTAAGAGCAGCAGGTGGCCATCAGTAGGTGCTTAAACAAATCGACACCTGTGATGGGAACGTGCCTGGCAGGCATGTGGTGTTAGAACAGTGAACGAGGGGACTGGAACCCCAAGCACGAGGCTCCTGAGCTGTGGAAGGAGGGGGGTGAGTGTGCATCCCAGGGGTGAGGGGACCACAGGATGGTTCCCAGGAAGGCGGGACATGGAAAGAGGGGTGGAGAGTGATATGATCAGACCTACAGCAGGGAGTCAGAGAAAGAACACTCTGGGTGTTTCTGGAAGATCCAATGAAGTCTCTGCCTGACCTCTCTGGGCCAGAAGCCAGGTGGGGTGTTTAACCAGGGAACTGGCCTCTCTCCCTGACTACTAGACCATGGAGTGGGGCCTCCGTGTTTTCTGTCTTCATGTTATGGAGCAATCTTTTGGACCCAGAAAGTTTTGCCCTCCAGCTTTTAGCCCTTTGAAGGCAGGTCCATGGGGCAAACTCCCCTTCCTGCACAGCTTGGAGTCAGCACCTGAACACTTGCTAAGTTCGTGTTTGTGGGTGAAGATTCCAGCAAAATGAGACTGGGCAAGCTCCTGGGGTCTGTGCGAGTCTGTCACGTGTCTGCACTGGGCGGGGGCAGCAGCAGGTGGAGCAAGTGTCTGGGGCGGGGGCAGGCAGGCCCCTCCCTGAGGGGGGCTGAGCACACCTGTGCATCAGGACACACACACACACCTACTCACACCCTACCTTCCAGGTCCTGGACCTTCTTCATGCAAATCTTCAGTTGCTTTTTGAGCTTTCTCTCGTTCTTCTCCAGCTTCTCAACCAGCTCTTTAAGGTCCTAAAAGCAGAAGGAAGCAGTGTGATTAGAACATATCTAGGAGTACGTCACAGAGACGGCAATGGCACCCCACTCCAGTACTCTTGCCTGGAAAATCCCATGGATGGAGAAGCCTGGTAGGCTGCAGTCCATGAGGTTGCTAAGAGTTGGACAGGAATGAGTGACTTCACTTTCACTTTTTACTTTCATGCATTGGAAAAGGAAATGGCAACCCACTCCAGTGTTCTTGCCTGGAGAATCCCAGGGATGGGGGAGCCTGGTGGGCTACCGTCTATGGGGTCGCACAGAGTCGGACACGACTAAAGTGACTTAGCAGCAGGAGCAGAAGCAGCTCTTTGAAAAACACATTAACAAAATNCTAATACTTTGGCCACCTCATGCAAAGAGTTGACTCGTTGGAAAAGACCCTGATGCTGGGAGGGATTGGGGCAGGAGGAGAAGGGGACAACAGAGGATGAGATGGCTGGATGGCATCACCAACTCGATGGACATGGGTTTGAATAAACTCCGGGAGTTTGTGATGGACAGTGAGGCCTGGCGTGCTGTGATTGATGGGGTCGCAAAAAGTCAGACACGGCTGAGTCACGGAACTGAACTGAACTGAATCCTGCCCTGGAGGGTGGAGCGGAGGAGGGCTGGGGTGGTGGTCCTGGCGCCCAGCGAGCCAGGCCGCTAACAAAGAGGCCAGGCTCGGGCTCCAGTAGGAGTCCCCCCACCTCCCACCCCTGCTGCTCCCCGGGATCTGGACCCACAAAGCAAGGGATGGGTCAGGGCCTTCTCTCAGTCTAGATGGCAGTCTCCTCCCTGCTCAGCCTGCCTGGCACCCTGCTTGAGCCACAGTTCTCTAGGCCTGCGCCTCCTCTGGTTGTCATAGCAACCCCCAGGAGACCCTCAACCTCAGGTGGATGGGCAGTGCCCTGGGGAGGGATCCGACAAGTGAAGGCACGAGAGTGCCTTGGAGCGGCATCCGCTGGACAAGCCCGCCTCCTGCCTCATTTAAAGCCTCCCCCACAACCCTTCTTCTGTAATACTTGTTATTCCCATGTGGAATCAGGTTTTTGGAAACACTGTCTTATTTCTTCTCTTCTTTTTTTTTTCTGTCTTGCTTCCCCCACCTGACTGAGATCTCTCTGAGAACAGAGACTCATTTCTCTGGCCTCTGCCCCAGTTCATTCAATGACTGTCTGCCAGGATGGCCACCGACCACTCCCCCCACTGCCCCTCCGAGCAAGAGGGGGGAGTCCGCCCCCACCACTCAGTCTGTCCAGAGCTGCCCTGTTCCACAGACTGTGGGAAAGTGACCCTGGACCAGTTCTGGAACTAGATCTTAAGAGGCCTCCCCCTCATCCTCTTGAAAGTCAGCGGCCACGTAAACGGCAGTGAGCAGACCCCGGGAGGGGAACCAATGCCCCAGACTTGGGACTGGGGCTGCCCTGCATCCTCTGGCCCCGTCCAACCACAGTGGAGCAGAGATGAGCTGCCCGCACTGAGCCCTGCCAGAATTCCTGAGCTGCACGATCTGGAAGCTCTTCCGAAAGGGCTGGTAAATTTTCAGGAGGCTAGTTACATGTTAACAGACAAACAAAACAGCTTCGCACTCTTGCTGACAGGAGAGTTCTAGACTCTCTCTGTTCCTGCCATAGGGCCAAAGACACGAACCTTGTCCATTTGGTGAAAGGTTCACTGCTGGTCCCCTTTGCTTCAAGCACGTGACCTTCCCAGGGCTGGGCCCCGTGTGGTGCGGGGACTCACCAGGTTCTCGTTGGTGAGCCGGGACATCTCCTGCTGGACGCCGAACTCCACCTGGGCCTCTGGGGAGAGCAGCAGGGTCTGGCAGAAGGTCTGCTGCTGCCTGTCCATCTCCTCCTTCAGGGCCTCCAGCTGGGTCTTGAGATTGTCGACCTCCTCCTCGTGCTCGCGGCTCTGGGTCTGCAGCTGGGCCTCCAGCAACCTGCACCCAGAGGAAGGAGGACAGATGACGGGGGGGCTGGAGTCTGCGCCCCCAAACAGGGTCCACAGAGTGACACGCGACTGGTGGGGGGGGCAGCCGAGCAGGGACACAGCAGCAGCAGCAATTGCATGAGACCCACGGGGGACAGACATGGGGCCGGGGGTGGGAAGCAGGGCCGCAGGGCTGGGCAGGCAAGCAGGCCAGCCTTCCTCTTGCAGGAGAGGGAATCAAGGTCCAACACAGCGCCCCTGACCTCAGGCCTTTCTCGCCACCACTCTCATCCCCTCATCCTTTGCTCTTGAGCACAGTCTGTTGGTCTGGTGTTAAGAGACTGTCTCCAGGTCAAGAGATCAGCAGAAATACATTTCTTAGAGCATCTTTCCAATAAAAGCATCCATATCTGTCCTGAGGTTCACAAGAATCTCCTTGCTAAGACAAAACTCTGGTAGACGGAACTAACTGTATTACTTGCATATCTCCCCTTTAGTAGGTTCTCTGCAAGTTTGAGAAAGGCAAAATATTAGATCCCTTTTTATTTTTAATTTATTTTTATCTATTTTATTCTTTTTATTTACCTAACCACTATGACCGCCCCGCACCCACTTCATCTCTGGCCTTTTATACACATTTTCCCACAGTCCAAACAGAAGCTAAGACTAACTGCAAATGATCAGGGGGAGGTTTAGGATCCACCGTTTTCATGACAAGTGGCAAAAACACCTAGAAAAGATCTGGGGATGGTTGGGGAGAAGTTTTGGGGCAATTCTGGGAGACCCCCAATCCATCTGCAAGGCCAGGAATTAAGGAAGACTCTGAAGCAGCGTCCTAGTTAAGAGGTTAATTACTGATTTTGTGACTATGGTGCTATCTTCTTGGGCTTAACGATTAAAAGAAACTTTCATCAAATGCCTCCTGACTGGGGTCGTCCTCTTCCTGGGATGCAGATAAAGATGGTGACCAGAAGCACCATGTGGTTCTGCTACTTCTGCTGTCAGTCTGGGATGTGGTAACGGTCCCAAGCGGGGAGGGGGCAAGAGAAGGGAACGTCTTCACTGTAAAGTCCCAGGTGGACAGAGCTGCATGTCCGGTCAGCTCACTGTAGCACCAGGGGTGATGCTGGGCTCTGGGGGCCAGCTCAGCAAAGTGACACAAATGAAAGAAGGGATGACAGAGGGACGACTGAGTGACTCACTCATCACCAAAGGAAAGCAATAATGAGGGTTTTATGGAAAATAACTTGGCAATTAAGCCAGCACTTTTAGGGGACACACAATATTTAGATAACATCTGATCTTGGCTTACGATACACTGAAAGTAATCACCAGCAAGCTATAAATTTAATGAGAGAAATAAGACTGGAACACTCAAGTTCTAGGAACTCCACCCAAACGATCAGTTCCTGCTTTGTGCTGTGAGTGAGCTTACTGCTAGGGTTCTGTGCAAGGTCTGAGGACTTCTGCCCCAGCCCCAGGCTGGCCACCTCATTTGGCAGGTGAGACCACTAAACCAGAGACAGGTCTGAGGCCATGTCCCAGGGCAGGTGGGGCAGGTGTCCTGATGCATCATTGGGCTGTGTCTTCTTCGCTTGATTAATAAATTCATTACGTATCAAAGCACATCCAACTCCTGCTCCCAACCCAAACTAAAGCAAACATCTAGATGGGGCAGGAATTTGATCTTACTCCAAAATAGCCATTATAATACAAGCAGCAGCTAGTATTTATTCTGTGCTTCCTCCACGGCATGTGTGTGTACAGAGTGCTTCACTTGCATCTATTCCTGACAACGACCTGAGAAGGAAGGTCTGATTCGGATCCACATTCTACCAGCGAGAAAATGGAGCCAGATGTCACGTGGCTCACAGGTGGGTCCAAGTTTGAATCCATAGCCAGGAGATACATGGCCGCGAGAGCGAGCCAACCTGAACTTTCTTTTGCCAATAAGACAGGCTCTTGGTGCTATTCCAGGACCTCCATGATGTCCTTGGCAGGCAGAACTCGAGAGATGGCACTCAAGGACCTAGGCTCCCGGCCTAGCTCTGCCAGCATCAGGCCGAGGGCGCCAGCATGGCCTTCACACCACCTTGCTGAGCCGGTTTCCTCTTCTGCGGAACAAGCCTGAGGACCTCCTCCCCCTCTACTGTTGACAGTCTCAGATGTGTGATGCTGTGCCGAAGCCCTGAGCAGCCATGTCCTGGCAGCAGACGCAGGACATGATGGTCAGGCTGTGCTCCTTCTGTTGTTCTGTTGCTAAGTCATGTCTGCCTCTTTGTGAACCCACGTGTCTGCAGCACACCAGGCCTCCCTGTCCCTCACCATTTCCTGGAGTTTGTCCATTCATGTCCATTCAGTTGGTGATGCCATCCAAGCATCTCATCCTCTGCCACCCCCTTCTCCTCCTGCCTTCAATCTTTCCCAGCATCAGGGTCTTTTCCAATGAGTTGGCTCCTCACATCAACTCAGTTCAGTCACTCAGTCATGTCCGACTCTTTGTGACCCCATGGATTGCAGCATGCCAGGCCTCCCTGTCCATCACCAACTCCCGGAGCTTGCTCAAACTTATGTCCATTGAGTCAATGATGCCATCCAACCGTCTCATCCTCTGTCATCCCCTTCTCCTCCCGCCTTCAATCTTTCCCAACATCAGGGTGTTTTCCATTGAGCCAGCTCTTCGCATCAGGCGGCCAAAGTATTGGAGCTTCAGCTTCAGCATCAGGCCTTCCAAAGAATATTCAGGACTGATTTCCTATAGGATTGACTGGTTTGATCTCCTTGCTGTCCAAGGGACTCTCAAGAGTTTTCTCCAACACCACAGTTCAAAAGCATCAATTCTTCAGCGCTCAGCTTTCTTTATGGTCCAACTCTTACATCCATACATGACTACTGGAAAAACCATAGCTTTGACTAACACAGACCTTTGTTGGCAAAGTGATGTCTCTGCTTATTACGCTGTCTAGGTTTGTCTAATCTCCTGTGGTAGGCTGCTCTCCCAGGGCTGACGGCCGAAGGGCCGGATTCAGACTCTGGTAGTAAATGGAACCAGGTTCACATTCTGGATCTCCTGTGTAGGCAGCAAGTTCCTCACTCCCTGCAAACCCCAGTGTCCTCACCCCACAGGCACGAGGTCAGACATGCTGACACTGCAGCACACTGGGGCCGGGTCGCTCAGCTCTAGTGAGCTCCAAGCAGTTACCACGATGGGGACCATCACATGAGCTGGAGGGCAGGCTGCCCGCAGCTGGGCCAGCAGCACAGATGTAGCCGGGGCTCTGGGCTGATCTACACACAGGATGGTCAAAACGGAGCATGGAAGCAGCACAGACTCAGGAATCCCAGAATTAAATTTCTATCATTCTAAAGAGCTGAGAGCCTGCTCACCAGGTTAACTAGCCCCATGTGTTCCTTCACCCACAGAGCGAGGAAGCTGGGCTGGGTGGTTTTCAAGGTTCCAGTGAGCCATCAAGACCTACCGTCTTGACGCAAACAAGCAGCCTCCACACAAAATGACAGACGGCGATGCAAGGGGCTTCCCTCCGACACTCCTCCCTGCCCTGCCCCCGTGAGCTGGACCCTTGCATCCCCTCCAGCTGAAAAATAATCACGCAAAGACACGAGCAGGCAGAACAGCAGACACAGGAAGAAAGACCACATGGTGGACCTGGCAACTTGCTTTAGGCCTTGGTAGGCCAAGCCGAGCTCTCCATCTTCATTCAAGTAGCCCCAATCCTCAGTCTTGCTAGAAATAAAGGACAGAAAAACAGGGCGTCCAGTGTAGATGGGGGAGAGAGGGGGGGTGGGGGGCAGCAGAGCGCTGGGGAAAGGGAAACAAGGGCAGCCAGGCTTGGAAAGGCAGGAGGGAAGGTTCCAGAATGCCCGGTCCCCCTCCTACCCCTCCCACCACCAGCATCTGGGCGCCTGCAAACATCATCTCCCTCCAGTCTCCCAGCTTCCGGTCACTGTCCTGAGAGTGGGTTCCCACACCCTCCTGTGGGACCTCTGATTACCCCAGGCTGGAAGGCGCGCTGCTGAAGGCAGGGCAAGAGGGTGAGCTTGTTCTGATGACTCTGTGACCCGCAGCAGCACGGGCTGGGTGGAGGCGTTTACGTGGGCTCCCTCATCGCCCCTCTACCAGAATGACCAGGAAAAGCAAGCACGAGTCAGGGGGCCAGGCAACAGGGCAGGGAGGAGAGGACCCATGCAGGGTGGACAGTGCAGGCAATGAGCATGAGCTGACTGTGCGGGGCGGAGGTGGTGGCCTCCCAGGTGTCAGATCCACAGGGCCACAGGACCACAGCCGAGGGGACCCCTGGCTCCGCGAGGACAGGGGAGGAGACGGCCTATCCTGCCTGTGTGTCCGCGTGTGCCCCCTTCCTGTCACTTCTCAAGGGCACAAAAGTATTAACTCATCTCAACTCCTGCCCTCCCTGCAGTCTGGCATCAAGAAACAGCTAAGAGCAACTTTGCAACCGGCATCGTGAGTAGTGAACTTTCTCCCCTTGACCTTGGGACGGGACTGCATCGCTCCCGTTTACTCAGCTGGAAAAGCAGGAGGGCAGTGTCTTTGATTTTCTAGCTCTTTTGTGCTCCACATGTGCCCTGCGCTTTCCCAGTGCCGGCCGGGCAGCTCCGAGAAGGGAGGCACGTGTCACAGACGCCCCCAGCGTGTACTCCCCAGCCCTGCCCAGCCCAGGGCACGCACGAGACCCTCGAAGGCCAGCAGAACCGGGTGGCGGGCAGCAGGCAGAGCCCTGCTGTTCCCATCCAACTTCGGCCCCTCTGTCCCTGTTCCCAGGGGCCTCTGCTCCTGCGGGCTGGACCCCGGCACCCTGGCAGGAAGCGGGAGCTGTGTCCACTCTGTTTGTGGTCAAGACCAGCGACCTAACTCTCCGGAGATGACAGTCGTTTCCAGAGCATTTCTGGCCAAGGTCGGCCACCAGATGCCCCGTCGGTCAGGATGAGTGTGAGGTCTGGGGGGGCGGGTGCAGCTACCTGTCACATGTC